GTATGCGTCTACGGCTGCATGTATCGCGTGAGCGGCTAAGGTTCGGTAGGGAGAGTCACTATTACCAAAACTTATGTATAAAGGTACGGGGACTGTCTATAGTTTCACCAGAACTCTTACCCTTCAAAACCGTATCGCAATAATGTACAACATTACTGCTTGGTGGCAGAAATAGATAATGGTGACTTCCCTGAACTAACCCTTTCACAAGGAGCTCTACTGTTACTTAATGTAGGTAAATGTTCTTTTCGGTGGGCGACATTCATAACAATTAGTTTCTTATGGAATCATTCCTAATTAAAGAAAGTAATTAGTTTTATGATTGATGTATGCAGCCGTTGATTTGCTCATTCTAAGTAATATACAGTCAAACATTATTTGCTCCAATTAATTTTCTTGCCAGCGATCCTGTTACACGGGCTGACTTTGATAAACTAATTTTCATTGAACCTCCCCGACTCCCAGAGTCTTGCAAGATCGTTCGTTAAAGGGAGATTAAGTGACAAGACAGGGATCACGTTACCTGGTCACTATTCCTAGCAATGTTTAGGTTTCTAATACGCTAGGTAAATATGCTCTGTGATCCTCTTACGTCTAGTGAGATGTACACATCCAAAATAATTGCATTTGTCAAATATACATATATAGTAACACCTTTGTAATTAAATTTGAGACGGCAACTCCAAGACAAGCGATCACCGTTATGAGAGCTTAGTGTACTAAGCTTGAACAAGTAACCAAGCTTGACTAGGGATTTAAAGATTTATGGCAAAAAGTGAACTGTAGAGATTGCACATTAGTCTCGACAACTTCTTATATTTAAGACAGTAGAATTTAAAACTATGGAATTAGACATGCGGTTACGTCTTTGCCATAGACCTCTAATACGTGGTCGTGTTATTTTTTAACACACTTGCTTGTAAGTACAATTTTTTTTTTACGCTTTTACCGCCTTTATTAACTACCGAAACAAACAATTCATGCACCTGATAGTAAGCGATATGTCTGTCGCATAACAGTTGCAGCACCACCCAGAGTTTTAAATCAAGTTCTGAGGGGCAGTGCCACTACGCCCTACACCTTGAGACATAAGTTGACAAGTCCCATGTGCCTGTAATTTCACCAGTACCCTTACCCTTCGAAACCGAAACGCAGTATTGTTCACATACTGCTTGGAGGCAGAAATAGGTAAGGTGGCAGTACTTCCCTAGACCAACTCTTTCACACGGAGATACTAAATTCGCTCCACGACCCCAAAAAGCTGACTTTTTTATTTTATTTATAAAAAATAATATAAATACAGTCTGTGTCATTTCATTTATCATTTTTATAAGATAGGTACATACTCATAGATCCATGACGTACATAAGTTCAAAATATTATTTGTTTCATGCTTATATAAAATGAAAGCATAAAGTTTTGTGTCAATAATACAAAACCATTTATAATAACAAGCTAATTGAGTATTTTCACAAAAGAAATATTAATATCATGGTAGTAAAACCATTATGATTAGTTAAAACATTATTATTGTGAAAACATTATCCAGTATTAGTAAAAATATTATTTAACAAAATAAATATAGCAAATTATTATTTATATAACAATTTTATTTTAAATTATTTGAAATTTTGTAAAGAAAAATAGGTTAAGTGGCGTCTTCCCTCTTCGACGCACCCAAAAGACCTATTCAGAAATGCATTTAACTTCAAAACGAAAAGCTAAAATGGCCGACGATGAATTTGCAATAATTTCTAATTGTCAATGCACGAAGGGGATCCAAGTGAAGAATTCTCAGGAAGTTCAACTCCTGACTGGAATAGTAATGAGAGCAAAAAGTTTAATTTTATTAAACGTTCCTTACAGAGTCAGATTTTACTTGTGGAACTTCAGCTATATTTTAAGGAAAGTATCTTCCTACCTTGATTAGGGGGTAGAAATGAATATTCCTGAAATACGATTCAGAAAAAATCGCCTACTTTCGTTTAAATATTCAAATAATTTCAGTACAGAGTACGAAACAAACCGACCTCAAAAGTCATTCATCCCCTAGTTTAATACCCTTAGAGGTGGAATATTTTCTTCAAATTTAAATGGGACCATTTTTGAGGTACCCTCTTTCCAACAAAGAAAGAATACTAGAAATCGGTTTACGAATCGCTATCGCGTAACATACATAAAAAAACATGCAGTCGAATTGAGAAACTCTTCCTTCTTTTGAAGTCGGTTAAAAAAGTATTCGAGACATCAATTCTATAATTCCACAACACATATCTCGAGAATCTTTTAATAACCGTAAACAATGCTTTTAAATTATATTCAGATGTGTAAGTAGCAAACACGTTAGTCGACAGAAAACATTCTCTAAGAGGTGAAATCCAGAGCTGTCCAGAATATTACAGTTATAAATCTTGAGCTGCAGGATACGGGGAGGGAAAATTTAAATAAAATGAGGTTGTTTTGACATTTTGCAAAAGTAGCCACATTTCAGTGCCGCAGCTGTCTCGTGACATTAAAATGTATCCTAGTCTGACTCTCTAATGACCGCAGATTTAAATCCAAAGAAAGAACGCGCTGTACTCCAAATAAGAAAAGTTTTGTTTCTCTTTTACATCTTTCGTAGAGGGGAGCGCAACAATGTCGTCGTACTTTTGAATCACGAAGACAATTTTCTGTGAAAAAATACGAGTTAAAAATGTAAAAGAGTGAGCTATACTTTTATTCCAAGTTTTTATATTTTTATTCCATTCACTGCTTTCCTGGTAAATTAAAAATTACAAGAGATCAAGCCAAATTTGGTACTAAATCTTACTTGAACTATTATGGACAAAGAAACAATAATTTTTAGTTATATATATAGTTTATAGTTTTGTAGCTGTAGAGCTTCTCGTAAAAGAGTTCTTTTTTTTATGATACCAAGTGGCGGGATGAACAAGTCGTGCACCTGGTGGTAAGCGACACGCCCATCCATAACAGTTGCAAAGCCATTCAGAGCTTTAAATCGCAAAGATCTTATGGGCAATGCCACTGCGCCCGTCACCCTGAGACATAAGTTGACAAGTCCCATGTGCCTGTAATTTTCATCTAGGGAAGTACTGCCAACTTACCTATTTCTGCCGCTAAGCAGTAACGTTTAACTGCGTTTCGGTTTTGAAGGGTAAGGGTGCTGGCGAAATTACAGACACATGGGACTAGTCAACTTGTGTCTCAGGGTGACTAATGCAGGGATAGTCCGCCACAGGTCTTTGAGATTTAAAGCTCTGAGTGACACTGGAACCGGTATAGACAGGCGCGTCACTAGGTCACATAAAAGGAAGAAAAAAGTGGATTGATATACAAATACTTTTTCCATATTTAAAGTCGCATATCGCCTTACGTTCTCAAACTCGTATCTTAAAGCAAAAAATGGATTGTATACACTAATTTTACAGGATGATTTCACATCATATTTATGCACTGGCTTTTGCCTATTCTTATAGCAATGCAAACTAGCACCATTTATAAGAAATTTAAAATAAATAGAAAGATCTGCCATCTTCTGAATAATCACTCTTTATAAGATATGAGTTTGAGAAAGTAAGGCATCAATATGTGTTTTTTTTTCAAACAAACCAGCGTTTTGGACTCTTTACATGTTCCATGGGCACGTTTGACTGACTAGTAAAGAAACGTTGCTTTATTTGAAAAAATAAATGTATGTGATTCATTCCTTCCATTAGATAAGTCAGTTAATTCCAATGTTAATAAAGTATTCCATAACAAAGTTACAGTTTATTCTTCTCGAAGTAGCTGACAGGAAGTTGAACAGATTAATTTTCTCACTGCATCACGTCTGAATTTCTCATATTGTTACGAAGTTTTCGCCTTGTGTGCAGCATCTCACGTTTGGTTTATTTATTTTCGAGTAAGATAGTAGTAGATTTCCGAGACGTTCGCTACGTCCTTGTCAAGAACTTTTATAGTCCAATATACAATTTTCCAATTCGATTGTTGGCACTTTCACATATCTTTTGCTTGTGCTATTTCCTCTACGTGGGCGAGTCTGGACTCGCAAATCACTTCTATTGTAGGTGCTTTATCATCTTTGTTTGTCGTTAAATTCCTACGAACGTAGTTGTTTTTAAAAGTCGTTACAAATGAATTGGTATTTGTATCGTTCAGAGCAAACAAGTGAATTTCCTCAATGCTTAAGCAGCCATTTTGTGAAGCCGTACGCTCGTCAGAGGGCTCCATTCACGTGCTAATTGCCTACTCGCGCAATTAATGTTTTTATTTATATCACATTTCTGAAACCGCATTTACAAGTCAGTTTTACATAACAATAATAAAATCATTTAAAATAGCTTCGGTGGATGTGAAGTTTAAAGAAAACCGACTCCGCTGCCATGGCCATATAAGCTGAAGAGAAGAAAGTTACTCCGTGAAGGTAGTAGGAGGTCTGACCCCAAATAAAATGGGAAAAGGGCAGAAAGAAGAAGAAGAAGAAGATACTCATAACATAATTCAAATTTTGAAATATTAAGTAATTACAACCATACCAATTACTTGGCACTCAGACCACCCAGACCAAAAAAGTTCGTTTCCAAATTGGTCCTATCAGTTATCGAACTGGGATCTCCTCTAGAGCTCACAGTGTTAGCCGTTAGGGCATTATTGTCATCGTAATTATTATAAATGCAAGAAGAAACGTCAATATATATCTCCAAACATTTTCTATATTTTCTTTTCCTGAGTCCCAAGGGAAAGTTGACACATTTCCTGAAAGTGGTTACAGTGTTCACCTGAAATTATATATAAAAAAATGTAATAAGGATTCACACTTGTGGGTGTTACGTATTCCTTATGAGATCGATTTAGTATCAGTAGACCTCCTTGTGATCTTTCACACTTCTTTGACTTTGAACCGCGCCAAAGGGCCCAAGCTGCCATCCAGCAGCTCCCGCCCAAAGATGGCAGCAGTATTCCACGTGGGCACGGACTTGTGACTTATAAGGTAGCAGTCAGTTGTTGGACGCCAGCTTGACTTTGCCATCTAAGTGACTACGGAATTTAACGTCACAAGAGATGTCGACACCAAGGATCCCGATGCTCTCCGAGATATTTAATGGCTTGTTCTGGAACTGAAGGTCTGCAGCAAATGGAGTCTTTTTAGCGGTGAACGCGTAAACTTGTGTCTTGGTGGGGTTAAACTGGACAAGTTTCGTTTCTGTTTATAATTATAATTGAAATTAATGCATTTATTAAAATTCACACTTGTAGGTGTTACACACTCCTTATTTGATTGATAACACGATCATTACTAAAAAATGTAGAGAGTTTGGAATCTCTCTGGTGTTTTTTTTATTGAACATTTCTTGACCTTCAGATGCGACTGTGCTTTATACGCGTGGCGCACTATAAGTTTCCGAAATGAATAAGAAAAAAATACTATAAATGGTCAGAAATGAATTTATTGTTTCTCAAAATATTCACCGTTAGCGTTAATGTACTTTTTCATACGAACGAACAAATTTTGAAAACATTTATGCCACTCCTCCGTGACAATTTCTGAAACATATTTTTCATACTCTTCGACAGTCTCTTCAGGTGATAAAAATCGTTGACCGCGCAACTGGTTCTTGATTTTTGGAAATAAATAAAAGTCACAAGTTGCCAGGTGGGGACTGTACGCGGGATGGGTCATAACCGCTCACGCGATACATGAAGCCGTAGACGCATACCACACTTAGAGATGAGAGAGTATTGATTTTATACCGATTTGTCGGATATCGAAGTTATAACAGGTAAAAGAACTAATATTAATTGCTATTTCGGTAACTACTCTAGCAAACCATAAAGTATTTAATGCCTCGGTTTGTCATTTAAAAAAAATAAACAACTTCAAAAATACGTCACGACAATCGCGTGTGTTATGGTTTGGGCTGGTGATTTCGGTGTTTATATATAGAAAACATACCGTAAGTAGCGTTTTTTAAGTTTACCCTGAATATAAATGTTTATAAACTATACTTTAAGGAGTAATTTCATGGTAAACGTTAGAACCACTCAAACGGAATATTATCATATTTAACCAAGTACACCAAAAATTTCATTTGCACTTAAGTGCAGGATTTGCGGTGTATTACTGCATTTTATTTGAGATGTTTTTGTAGGTAGTACGGAGGGTATTTATTTAGCAATGCTGAATAATAATTTTTATTTATAAAAACTTGTATTTAAACTGAATGCTTTTCTAATTTGCGAAACCAAATAGCCGCCATTTTGCGGTAGGAAGAGCGCATCGCGTGAGCGGATAAGGTCAACGCTGTTCACCTTCAAAAATTCATTTGTCTGTCTGGCCTTGTGAGAACTGGCATTATTGTGGTGCAAGATGATACGGCGTTTACGGTTATTTTTTTGGAGTTTGTCAATAATTTCCGGCAAACAAATGGTCGTGTACCAATCACTATTCACGGTACAACGATTCTCCAAGCAGCGGTAGCCACGTGTCTAGTTTTATTTAAAAAAGAAGCAATCATCCGCTTAGAGGCACTTTGCATGCGCGCCACTTTGGTTGGTTTCGGCTCATCTCAAAATTCCCAAACGCTCGATTGCAGCTTTGTTTTGGGATTGTAACTATAAATCCATGTTTCGTCACCTGTTACTATATCCCACACCAAATTTGACTCCCCTTCGTCGAATCTGGTAAGCATGATAGTGCACCAAGTGACGTGATCCTTTTTTTGAGCTTCAGTCAAATTGTGTGGGATCCACCGAGAGCACAGCTTTTTCACACCCAAATGTTTGAGTAGTATTGATTGTATTTGACTCATGCCTTAGCGCCCAGACACACGAGGAGAAAGTTTTCGCGCGGCCGCCACGCGGTCGAAGAGCGGAGTCCGCGGCGGCAGTCGCGCGGTCGAAGAGCGGAGTCCGCGGCGGCCACCGCGCGGTTGAAGAACGGACTCCGCTCGGCGACCGCGTAGACAAAGACAAGCTAGTGCCTTCCAGCTACAAGTTAAATAAATAGAGCGTATTTTGCCATAACAGTTCGGTCTCTGAACACATGCACGCGGTCGTTCGCGGGTGCGCCTAAAGATGCCCGAATGTCTTGGTATGTACGTCATGGTCTACGGCGCACAACATCGATGTTTTTGTTGTTCACAGCAATTGTCTTACAGCGGTTGTCAGCAAATGTTGTAATTATTTTTTAAACATTGTTTATGTAAGTGGCCAGTTCCGGAAACTTATAGTGTGCCCTATGTACCTTTGTAAAAGAAGTTTATCTCAATTTCAGTTTGACTAGAGCTTCCATTGTATATTTAGAGAAACAAAGTTTATTTTATCGATCTGCCCATGCCAGTATGGCAATTGGCATCCAAAGGCTTTACAAAGCTGGGAACGAATAGCTAGAATTCCAGACCGGCCAAAAATCTACTAAAACTTGCTGGGTTTGCGTTGACTGAATCGAAAAGAATTTTATACTTTTGTTGAAATAAATAAAATAATATACCTATTCACCGATACATGTATTTTTATCTTAACCGAAAACTTCGTATTTTAAAGCTAAAAATTTTTGTAAGTTCATACATGCATACACTGCATTTAAAACTAAACTTGTCTGTTAAAAATGTGTAGGAGAAGAGAAGGAGACATATCTTCAAGTTTTTCATTTATTTCTTAAAGATAATCAAACCCGCCTGTTCTTTTTCAGATATATACCGCTTTTCATAGTGTCGCGATCTCTGAGGTCCCGGGTTCGATTCCCAGCTGAGTCAATGTAGAAATTATTTTTTCTATATTTATGATACCAAGTGACCGGACTGTTGCAGTGCCACTCAGAACTTTAAATCGCAAAGATATGAGGGGCACTGCCACTGCGTCACCCTGAAATATAAGTTGACAAGTCCCATGTGCCTGTCATTTTACCAGCACCTTTACCCTTCGAAACCGAAACGCAGTATTGTTCACATACTGCTTGGAGGCAGAAATAGGTAAGGTGGCAGTACTTCCCTAGATCAACTCTTTCACACGGGGATACTAAATTCGCTCCACGACCCCAAAAAGCTGACTTTTTTTATTTTATTTATAAAAAGTAATATAAATACAGTCTGTGTCATTTCATTTACCGCCACTATCCGTCAAAACCCAACCACGGTAATGTTCACATAACTACTTGGCGACATAAATAGGTAAGGAGGCAGTACTTCCCTGGACGAACTTCACAAAGAGTTCTATTGCTACAATATTGTCTCGGGTCTGTGTTTGTGATACCATTGTTGTTTCCGCTTTCCATAACAGAAGTGCTTTAATAGATACTTAATTTGGTATCAGAGAACATATGTGATGTTGTCTAATATTTAATGTGTAAGTGCTCGAATAATATTTTTAAGTGCCTGTAACCCTTTATGATTACCTAAAGCTGTTTTTAAATTTAATGTTTATAACAACGTAGAAATAAAAAAAAAATTACATTATTTTTACGTGTGTGACAAGCGTAATTCGATGTGAATTACGTTTTTAAGAATGTATTATAAAACGTGCTTAGGTACATTGTTTATGTTACAGTAAGCATAGTTATATTTCGCTGCTTCCCTCAAGAGCAGAGTGGCGCAGTGGAAGCGTGCTGGGCCCATAACCCAGAGGTCCGTGGATCGAAACCACGCTCTGCTAATCTATTTGTTTGATATCTATTTTTAATTTCACTCAATTTTTTTTTTTACTTTTTGGACACCATTCCAGTGCCGTTTTACTTTATTTCACATCACTACCGTGCTTTTTTCGATCTTCTACGTCTTGGATCTTAGGTTATCTTCGGGTTTCGGAATTTGAGACCCGGTTTATAAGTCTTACTATTGTGTACAATTGGAAATGAAACCGCATTTTCGGATCTAAATTGTGTGAGGTTTTTTTTAACAAAGAATTTTTCGAGCCCTCTATTTGTCGGTTTGTTCTAAAAACAAATATTTTATGCAATTCAGATCCGTAAAATAGTCTTATTTTCAATGTATAGCAATCACCAAAGCGTAAGAGTACAGATTTTGGCGAATGCACCGCGAACGCGCTGCATGCGCCCTGCACATGCACTGCTCTCGCGCTGCACCCGTGCTGCATGCATGCCGTTAAATATATGTGGCACGCGTGCAATGCGCGAACGATACGTAATGCAAGTGCGCAGCTCGCGGCTCTTCGAATACAAGCGCATTTGCCAGATCTGTACGCACCTGATGAAAGTAGACATGAAAGAGACGATGAAAGTTACACAGTGCTTCATATATTTACAATATATCTAAACTTATGAATAATTATTTCATTCATTTACCTTCTTCGACAATCCGATTTCATCGCGATGTTTTCTCCTCTCATTAGAGGACCCGTGTTCAGTAGTGGGACGCATAATGGGTTAACGATGATAATGATATAGTGCTTAACGAAAGATGTGATTATGTTCTATATGTAAATACATTACGATAATGATACTCGTGTAACTACGTTCTGCCTGCATACGTCTTTACTACTGGCCATTTACGTGCATTTACTAACTTATTTATACATCGAATAGTATATTGCATCTTAAATTTACTATTCACAATATTTTAAGTAATTTAAAAATGCTTTTATTCATCCCTTGTACGAGCTGCTTGTCTCGTACAGTAATATGTCAGAATATGTCAGGTGATATCAGCGAGATGATGCAGGGAGATGTCAAAGATGCTGTAGAAATAATACTCGACCGATACCACGGAGTAACTTTATTGTACTGAAAATTATAATTTATACATATTGCACGTGCACAATGCAGGGTGCGACGTTGCATATTGTCAGTTGCACAATAATGTACGTTGACCCGTACATCCCTTATTAAGTGGTTTCTTATTAGCGTTAACGATGAGTTGTTTATATTAATATCTTATTACTAGGATTATTATTATATCGTTAAACAACAAGCTAGACCTCATTTGTGATTTCAGCGTCTACAACCAGTAATATCTTATTCACTCTTTAGTAATGTTAAATGTATACTTACATACGAAATAAAACTATTTTTCTGGATTTAAATCGCGTATATTTGTTTTTTCAAACAAACCGACGTTTCGGGCCCTTTACAGGTCCCATGGTCACGGTTGACTGAGGTGGTACGACCAGTTATGTCTAATATTAATGCAAACCACCCTATTTTTTCACTATAGTTACAATAGTTATTAATTAAATACCTTATTTTTAATT